AAACACGTTTAATAACCGACAATTCTATTAGTCATTTTTATAAGCTTCTATCCTGTGTTAACTGGGACACCCTAAAACTAAATCTAAACGCCAATAAAGCGTATGATATTTTCCTAACAGAGTTTCTTAATCTTTATAACAAGGCATTCCCAGAAGTTACTAAAGTAATTAAAACAAAAACACTTTTAAACCCTTGGATCACGAAGGGCATTCTTAAATCTTCAAAAAAAAAACAACGCTTATATAACAAGTTTCTTAAAAAAAGAACTCTTAAAAATGAAACTACCTATAAAAACTATAAACGGCTATTTGAGTCAATCTTAAAACGCTCAAAGAAACGTTACTATTCTGAACAATTAATAAAGCACAAAACTGATTCTAAAAAAACTTGGCATATTATTAAGGAGGTAATTGGAAAAAAAAGCTTATACAGAAATTTACTTCCTCTAAATCTTAAATTTAATAACAAACAAATTGTAAATAAATCCTTAGTCGCTGAAACACTTAACCAGTTTTTTGTAAATATAGGTCCTACTTTATCATCTAATATAGCAACTACTCAATCAAACTTTAGTTCGTACTTAACCTCAACCAACCTTAATGTTATGACTAATTATAAACTTACAGAAAAAGAATTACTAGACGCAGTCTCTTTATTAAAACCCAATAAAAGTTTAGGATTTGATGATATAAGTAGTAATGTCATTATCAAATCAATAAAACAAATTACAATTCCATTACTACATATTTTTAATTTATCTCTAAAACAAGGCGTTTTTCCAGACAACCTAAAAATTGCAAAAGTAATTCCAGTGTTAAAATCAGGTGATCCTTCCGATGTTACGAATTATAGACCAATCTCAATTCTTTCTTGTTTTTCTAAAATATTAGAGCGGGTTATGTATAATAGACTATATTCCTTTTTGAATGTTAATAATATTCTTTATCATAAACAGTTTGGATTTAAATCTGGTCATTCAACTGATCATGCAACCACTCACCTTGTTCATGATATATTTAAAGGGTTTGATGAAGACAAGTATACCCTAGGTGTATTTATCGATTTAAGTAAAGCTTTTGACACTGTCAATCATCAAATCCTTCTATCCAAACTGATAAGTTATGGTATAATAAATACTAATTTGTCCTGGTTTGATAGTTACTTGACTAATAGAAAGCAGTTTATTTCATATGATAGCGGAAAAACGGAATATAAGTCAATCACCTGTGGTGTTCCTCAAGGATCAATTTTAGGACCACTTTTATTTCTCGTTTATATTAATGACTTATATAAATTTTCTAACATTTTAAACTTAATTTTGTTTGCAGATGATACAAACTTGTTTTATTCTAGTAAAGATATCAGTAAATTATTTCAAACAGTAAACAAAGAACTTGAAAAATTAACCCAATGGTTCAAATCAAACAAACTATCTTTGAATATCAATAAATCCAAATACACTTTGTTCCATCGTCTTCATAAAAAACAAGATATTCCATTAAAACTTCCTGATCTTTTTATTGATAACGCATTATTAAAAAGAGAGCAATCAATAAAGTTTTTAGGTGTGGTTCTGGATGAAAATTTAACCTGGAGGGACCACATAGGTCTAATTGAAAATAAAATATCAAAAAATATAGGTGTTTTGTATAAAGCCAAGCAGTTTTTAAATCTATCTTGTTTAAAAAACTTATATTTTTCTTTAATTCATTGCTACTTAAATTATGCAAACGTTGCTTGGTGCAGCACAAACGCAACAAAAGTAAAAAAACTGTTTAGTAAACAAAAACAGGCTATAAGGATAATTACAAACGTAGACCGTTTCTCTCACACTAAAACATTATTTAATAAACTTAATATTCTAAATGTATATAAACTAAACCTTTACCATATTCTTATCTTCATGTTTAAACTTGATAAAAAAATATCACCAATGTTATTTAATTCACTTTTTGAAAAAATAAACCACATATACCCTACCAGATTTTCAAAAAACAATTACATTCAATCCAAAACACATTATTCAGCAACCAAATTCTCAATTGCAAATCGAGGTCCTAAGCTGTGGAATACAATATTAAATAATGAGCTGAAATCTAATTATTCTTTAAACCAGTTTAAAACAAAACTTAAGCAATTACTGATGATACATGAAAATGAATTAAAGTTCTTCTAAAAAGCTTTTTAAACTAGCAAACAAAAACAAAAATTAACCTACTAATTACTCTTTAATATTATATTTAATATTCTAAACAATAGTCTGCTATTGTAAATGTATTTCTTATCTTATAAGTTTTGAATTTACAAACGATTTTTTAAGTTTTATTATTTGAAATACTAATTACTAAAAATATTGAAAAATTTTATAATTTCAATTTTTATTAAAAAAAGTTATTGTAAATTCTTTTTGTAATATTAATACTTATATATCATCTTATTTTACTAATCAGTTCTTAAATATAAATACTCTTTGAATTACTAAATATTTTAAACGTTATATATTTTATTTTTTACATTTTGTTAAAATATTTTATTTGATGAATATGCATTTTTTTGGGGGGGCTTAATGATAAGATGAATTTTGTCTTCTTCAAGCCCCAGTCATGTAAATATTTGTTTTTATAAATTACGAGTGTAAATTATTTTCAATCGGCAAATACAATACTAAAAAAAAAAAAAAAAAAAAAAAAAAAAAAGATAATAAATATATTTCGTTTCTGCTTCGGAATTTCTCGCCATTTAACGAGTCTCATCTCGCCTGATTTTTCAACAATAAAATTTTTCCTGTACTTATTTTAACTAGTTTCCCGTTACGTTATCGTTTCAAATAATTCCGAGATGCAACAGCTTATCTGCCAAATTATTTGGCAGATCACACATTAGAAAACGGCTGATAGGATAATCTGCTCTGTCATTATTAACATTACAATGATCTGCTTTGCCAATCTGCTCTGCTCTGCCAATTGTACCTACCGAAAAAAAAAACAGCAAATTTACATTATCATATTGTGATTGCACTCAAAAATATCTAAAGACGGGGAAATTTAAAAAAATTCCACTTTGAAAACTTAAAATCTACCCTATTAAATTACTATAAAATAATACCAAAACTTATTCACATAATAAATAAATAGTTGCAGAATCTATTTTTATGTTGGGACGAAAGAATTATCTTAATTTACTTGTATTTAAACAAAAGTGAAACATTTAAAACTAAATAACTTTATCAATTCTAAAGCAAAATGTCGTCCCCAAACAAGTTATTGTAGTACATTCTTTTCTAAAAAAATAACATCTATATATACGTATAAGCTATTAATTTCCATTGGTGGGTTTTTATTCTTCGACACGTACATAAAATCATTTCTTAATCAAGTACGATATATATCGTTAGTTTGATTGATGTGATAATGATCAACTCTTTTTTGATTTGAGAGTGATCAATATAAAGTGAAATAATCACAAAATAGATCATTAAATAAATAAATATAAGGTTAGATGAGAAAAAAACAATTTTTTTACGAAACTTAAAATTTCATGTCATTTTCGGCATTCATCAGCCATGTATTTAAATCAAGAAAAAAAACATTTAAAAATACATTGAAAAAACCGTTACAAAATTAAAAAAAAACAATGAAATGAGTTCTGACGTCAAATAATAGTAATAACAAAAATAATAATAATAATGACAACAATAACAATAATAATAATAATAATAATATGGAAAAAACATCTTTTCTAATCGCCAGTATCAAATTGAGAAAGAAGGAGTCTATTTCTATGTCTGCACTTTGAAACAATCTCACTCCTTTTATTCAGTAGATTCGTATTTTTATAATTTAGGATTTCATATTTTTCTGTGAGACATAATTTACAAGATTTGGATGTTGGATTATACGCTTTACATCGCGTGAGAATTTTCCACTTAACTATAGGAACTAAACGAAGGAGGGGTTGTCGGGGATGTTCCACCACCCCAAAGCTGTCATATAAACATTTGAGTTGGCACATTGAGCAAGTTTTAAACTATAAAAATATGGCAAATTGGTTTTGTAGTTGGCAATTACTTTTTTTTTTAAAAAAGCATTTGAGTTGGCACATTGAGCAAGTTTTGCTCAATGTGTCAACTGAAATGCTTTTTGAGTTGGCAGTTTGCCAACTATATTTATATATTTATTAATAAAGCTGGCATTTTGCCAACTATATTTATATTAAATTTATAGTTGGCAAATTTAAAAATATAAATTTAGTTGGCTATATTTATAGTTGGCAAATTGCAAGTATTTTATGAAACTTTAAACCGCAATAACTTTTGAACTGCTTTGAATTATGGTTACATATTTTCAGGTTTTATGAAACGACTTGAAGATTTCTCTGAAATTTATAAAAAAATTCAATAAATCAACTATTTTGAGTTTTTGCCTCATTTTTTTGAAAAAGTCTCTTAAAAGCTTTTAACAACGAGAAAAATTTAGAAAGTCTTTTTCATAGATTGCATCATCTGGTTAGTTTGATAAATTAGGAAGTTTTCAAACAGTAGGGAAGAAAAACTTTAAAGCAATTTATTACTTGTAAACTCGGATAATTTTATAAATAATTATAAGAAAATAAATTTATAAATGATTTTATAAATATTCTTATATAATTACAAAAATGTCAGTGGATGATAGTTTTAAATTACGCTTGCTTCATTTCTATCATTTACACGAATTGGTGTTAAATGAAGATACAACACTGTTTGAAAAAAACCTTTTAAGGTTTATAAAATATTTTTTGAAAATATTCATATTTAAAAAATTATTTATGTAAACGTGGTTTGGACATCAAAAAATCAAATTTAATTTTAAATTTTTTGAAAACAAAGTGTAGCACTCTATCTATTTCTATAGTAACTCATAATGTATATAAATAATACATGTAAATAATGCGCATGCGCGTATATTTTGTTCTCAGTAACAGGTAAACGTTCCACATCGTTGAACTTGACAACCAACAACCACAAAACAGTTTCTAAGAAAGTTTTATTTATAAATTTACGTTTTATGAATTTATATATTTATTAACATAAGAAGATATGATAATTATGTAAATATATTTAAATGGTGGATATAAACGACTTTGGCTAGAGGAATCTCTTCAAAATGTTTGCACTATTACCAATATCACTGATTATGGGTATTTTCGGAACAAACTTTGAATATGCGCAAATGTCTTATACATTAAAGCATAGTCCAAGCACCAGAGAAAAAAACTCAAGTAATGAAAATAATTTATTTCGTTTAGAACGTGGTCTACCCAAAAACTTTTTAAATGAACCGTTAATTCATTTTCCACGGGTGCCAAAAGAAAATGTATTTAATAATTCAGTTCAATTTAAGTACCCTGGGTATTTAAAGTTAAACAACATAGATGACAAGTTAGGTTTAATTCTTACAAAAAAACAAATTTCAAATGCTAAAAGCACACTAAAACACAAAAAATCAAAAGCAAAAAAAAAAATAAATAAAAGAAGCCATATTAAAAATAAAAAGAATAGAATAGGCAGAACAAACAATTTGAAAAAGTACCAAAAAAGTTCGAAAAGAATGGAGATGTTTATTGTAGACGAAACTCAGTTGGACGACTCTCTGTCAGCTCAAGATTCTCAGCTTGATGATGAAAATGACGAGTACGACAACGAAGAACCTGATGATGAGAGCAACGATTATCTTTCTGAAAAGGGTGCTGCCTTTAGTGACGTAAATCAAAAGTACAAACTTAGTACAGCAGTTAATTCGTATACTGAAGCAGATAACTATGAAAACCCTAAAGAAGAAAACTACCTTCAATACGCAACTTCCAAAAAACCATCTCTTATAAACAGCGAACCAATTCGCGATGTTATGTTGGAAGGACTGAGCACACCTTTTATGGAATCAACTCAACTTATTAAAGCAAATCAAATGCGTGGAAATTATATATCTATTGGAAAAAGTGGTAATAAAAATAAAAATCCTTTAGTTGATGAATCTGCAGCATCATTTGATAATGTAATAAAAAAAGAAGCATTTAAAGCGCAAATTGATAATTCAATAAAGCAAAAGATTTTTGAAGACATTGCTAAAGATGCTGCGCTCCGCGACGAATTTTCAAAAAACATGACCGAATTCGATCTAGATCAAGTTGATTACGATGAGTTTAAAAAGCAAAAAAGCAGTAATCATGATGCTTTACTTTCTTATAAAATACCAACATTTGATGGTCAAATATTTAATAAGGAACCGAACCTGCTTAACAATTTTCAAAATATGAAAATGCAGGATTTTCAGGAAAAACCAGCCTACTCTTATTTAGTTTTGCCAGAAAACAACGATACCTCAAAGGTTGAAGGGAATACAGAAAAAATTAATATATTGCATAATAAGCAAGCAAAAGCGATTGGGAAAAAAAGAGTAGATGCTGATGATAAAAATGAGCCAGCAGCAATAGGTGATTTTGCAAATATTGTTGAAAAAGCAGATCAAGAAGTTATCAACTCATCATCAAAATTTCAAAGTTCTGAAAAACATAAAGAAACTGTTGACAAAACACATGAAGAACAGCCCGGAAATCATTTAAAGACTATATTTTCACCAACGCTTTCGCAGTTGAGTTCTCTAAACACTTTCATTCAGCCGCAATCTGACCCTTTTTCTCTAGAAGCTCCTCCGTCTGTTAATGACAAGTTATTCTCTAAAATTGAACAAAAACAAGAAATGGATCCGTTCAGTACGCTAGAAAATCATAACATACTTGATAATCAAGAAGAAGATCAAAAAATTCAGAATTTTGAGCCTCCAACTAAAATCTTTGTGCCTTCAAAAGATAGCTCAGACATACATAGTATAACTCCAACTGATCAGCTTTTAGAAATGCTTTCAAAAGGTCAATTTAATCATCCAATGTCAGACGATGAACTGTCTAAACTATCAAGTTTTGATCCAAATAAACAGTATCTAGATGACCAAAAATTAAATCCGACTCAGTTTTCGCAAAACAATTTTGCGCATTTTGGAGAAACATTTGTACCATCTAATGGCATAAACCCAATAGAGTCTATTAAAACGCCGTTTAGTGAAAAACATTTAGAGAGTTCTAACCCAAACGCTCCAAGTGCAATAAAAACGGATCCCGCATTTTTAGGGCAAAATATACACTTATTAGACCCATCAAAGTTTCGTACATTTGACGACTTAAATAAAATTAGTGAAGGGATGATTCATGCACATGTTGTTTCAATCAAACATCCAAGTCAAAAACACTATTCAATGCAACACTTCATTCATTTACCACATATAGAAACACCTTTTCCTACTTCTACGATACAACGTGTTTTTGAAGACGCCTTAGAAACGCCTTACAAAGAAAATGTTCAACAAGATACCTTTACTATAAGCCATCTTCTTAAATACGGGAAAGGTATAAGTAGAAAGTTGATTATAATTTCATTTATTTATTGTTTTAGTAAACTAATTTGAGAAAATCAGTTAGGATTTAGTAACGGTACTAATCTTTTGCCATTTAATCTGATGGCAATAACTGTCTATCAAAATAATTCAATAGAAAACACTATTTATATAAAGAAATCAATAAGAAATATAATAAAACAAATCGATGTTTAAACATTTGTTTAAAACTAATACTGTACACACCTTATATAAAGAAATATATATATATATATATATATATATATATATATATATATATATATATATATATATATATATATATATATATATATATATATATATATATATATATATATATATATATATATATATATATATATATATAGACACGCACACACGCATACATACAAAAACTGTGCCACGTTTTTCAAGTTTTTTTTTTTAGTTAGCTTAGTAAAAACGTGTTTAGTTGGAAAACATTCTAGAATTTTTGCACTAGTGCAGCATAAATTATTTTTAGAAACTAGAATAATTAAACTTTATAACTGTTAGGTTTATTATTTTACTAGATGGCTATATTATTGAGTTTTTTTATGTCTAAACTTTGTCAGACTTTAGGTATGAAATTAATGTCGAAGATATGCTCTTTTTTTCTTTACTTTTCTTTTTTTTAAGTTTTTCTTATCTATGCACTTGCCTAATTTCATTGAAAAATTTCTTGAAGTAGGATGTCTATTTTTTGTCGCATTTTTGGTAGCTAATTTTCTCGGCCGAAATGGTCGCGGGAGACGGAGGGGCTAGTTAAACATTTATATTTGATATAAATTGAATGAAATGGAAAATAATCATAGAGATAAAGGTTTTCAATATTTTTCCTATTTATTAAAATTTTGAAATGAAACTGTTAGATAGTAAGTATGTTTTTCACTTCTATGTTGTTCTGCTATAAATTACCAATCAGGTATTACATAATTGAAAATTTTTTGTGATACTAGGGTGTGCTAAAACATTATAACAGATTTAACATGAGTTTTACATTCACCTTCTACATCTGGTGGTTGTTTGTTATTAATTTATAGACCTATTTTATACAGAAAAAAACTTTGTTATGGGACTTTAGGAAACAGTAGTGTTATTTTATCTTTTTTTTTAGAGGTTTGGGGGGGGGGGGGGAGGGGAAGCATACGATCCTTCCATAAGTCAGTTTAAATACCACTTTTATACGCAAATTCTTGTCTAACATAATTTTGTATTTCATTTTATTAAAGGTAAAAGTATTCACGAAAACAAGTCATTTTTGATACTAAGGTCTATCAAACCATCACCACCACACCCGCCTCCATTGTTAACATACGCCTCTTATATACTTTGGTGGTTATAACAACTTTTATAACAACTTTTTTGTATATTTAACTTATTCATGGTTTGAAATAAGACTTTTTTCTGAAAAAAGTGTTCAATTTTTTATGGTAAATATGGTGGTTTGTTGTTCCCTTTATCCTCTGGATACGCCCCGAGGTTAGTGGTCAACATAAATTTGTAGCGCACTTTTACACCAATATTTTGATATCGAGATATTTGTATTTTGATAAGAGTTGACAAAGTTATGATTACTTAAGTTAAAAAAAACTTAATTTTGACCACAGTTTGTTCAATAAATCCATATGTCAAAAAATTGGTACATAAACAGTCATAACTTTCAAAGGAATAGTTCAGTTTTGATAGTTTTTTTACCTTTAAAATACTGCATTGGTTCTCTTTTTAATGATATATAACAGTATAATGATTTATACTATATAAGCCGAAATATCACCATTTAATAATAAAAATAATATATAACCGAATATTATTATTAACGATGTCACTTAAACAATATATGTATATATATATATATATATATATATATATATATATATATATATATATATATATATATATATATATATATATATATATATATATATATATATATATATATATATATATATATATATATATATATATATATATATGTATATATATATATATAAATATATATATATATATATATATATATATATGTATATATATATATATATATATATATATATATATATATATATATATATATATATATATATATATATATATATATACATATATATATATATACACACATATATATATATATATATATATATATATATATATATATATATATATGTATATATATATATATATATATATATATATATATATATATATATATATATATATATATATATATATATATATATATATATATATATATATATATATATATATATTGTGATCGTCGTAATAGCATTAAATAAGTAATTATTTTTAAAAATAACACGATGTTTTTTATTCTTTACATGTTTCGTAAAATTTATTTACATTTTCAAAAGATTATTTTACAATAAAAAAACTCTAAAATAAATATTAAAAAATAGAAGTCTTTACAGAGAAATAGTAACGGACAAAAATTTATTTAATGAACCAATATATTTATTACAAAATAACTCGGTAAATAACCAATCAAAATTACTAACTGTCAAAAAAATAATAATAATAAACTGATAGTAAAATTAAATAGATAAGTTTATAGCATAATGTGAAGTTTGTTTATTAAGCGGAGGACTTTCCCATTTAATGTGGAGAGCTTCTTTTATCTTTTACTTGTATTTGGTTGGGGCATTATCCAAAATCTCAAAAGAATCACAGTTAGCCAGATTTTTGCAACTAATAGATAAATTTAAGTGTTTAAATATATAAGATTGTTTATTACTTTTAAGGTGATCATTTATTTTAGTTGCCAAATGTCTGGAGGCTTCTCCAATATAACTGGCATTACAGCTAGCGCAAGAAAATTTATAGACAACATGAGATTCAAGCAGTTTAGGAAGTGATTCTTTTAAAAATTAATTTTATTACATTCTTGCAACATTTATGAACAATTTTTTAAATTTCCATTATAGTATAATTAGAATACATTATAATGTATGGAAGCTTAAATTATCTTATATTATATTTATATTACCTTATATTATATTTAAGCTATTAACAATGGTGGGTTCATTTTCTTATCAATATAGGATTTAATTTCAGAGTCAATAATTTTTTGTGGAAGATTATTATTTTGTAAAACTAATGATAGATACTTAATATCTTTGTCAAAACCAACCCAAGTATTATTCATTTTAAATGTACGATCAATCAAACAACGAACAAATCCAATCTGTAACAAGAAGGAATAAAACTTAAAAAGTTTTGTGAAAGACCTGTACAAGTTTTTTTGTGATAAACTGAAGTCGAAAACGAATTGGATTTTTTAATAAGTACATCTAAAAAGGCAATCTGGTTATCTTGTTCTTTTTCCATAATAAATTTCAAATTTTTATGTTGTTTATTGAGGTTTTTGAAAAATTCTTGAGCTTCATATTTAGAATTAAAAATAGCAATTATATCATCCATATACCGTTTACAACATAACATAAGGTTGTTATAACGTAACATAAGGTTATAACGTAACGCAAAAATGTTGGTCAATAACGGACGCTACTTTAGATTAGTCTTAATGACTATATGTGGCTGTTCCTATGCTAAGCCAACAATATCTTCGAATATAAGAACATTGTATAAAAAAATATAGCATGAAAACTCAAATAAATAAATAAAAAAATAAAAAAAATAAGGCATTTTTTCAAATTTTGTTTTACTAATTTATTATTCATACCTCTATCTGTTAGATATGAGTATGTTCTACCAATACACCAAATATGACGTCATGGTGAAAACAATAAATATGATGGTGACACCAAATATAGTCATGGTGAAAACCAAAATTCGATTAAACTATATCAAGACCATTTTCTTTTGCTTTTTAAGTAATTTTTAAAAGAATAAAACATATTTTAGTTCATGTAAAAATAAAGTATTATTTAGTTTATATAAAAAGGTTTAATTTAACAGTATATATTGCATTAATGCTATATATACTATTATATATAACTAAGAATCATTGTTTTATATTAAATAAAATCAACATTTTACATATTGTCTTGTTTAAAATAACATCAATGTTCCGTGTTTTTATAAATTAACATCAATGTTCATTATACTGTTTTCTTTAAAATGACATCAACGAACAGTCGTGACACAGTGGTTAGAGTTGTGGCTCAATTAAACAAACCGAGGTTCTATGCCGGATCTGGCTAGAAAAGCAACATTGGAAAGTAAGGATGCGTAAACTTCTTGATTAAATACTATTATGAGGTGCTCTGTGATAAGTCCGTCATGTCTTCTTGGAACACCTTAATGACTACAAATTTTTTTTCTATAATCTGTTTTTTTTTTTTTAAATTCAGTTTAGGTGCCCCTAGAAGTCCTTACGGTCTTATCACAGAGCACCGCGGATGAGCATTTAATTGGAAGTTCATGCCTCCTTCCTAACCGATGTCGCAAAACTTGCCCAGAGGTGGGGTTTGAACCACGGATCATTTGTTTCTGAGGCAAGTGCACTTATAATGTTTAATTATTATAATGATCATTTGTTTCTAAGGCAACTGTTCCATATAATGTTTCATTAATCTTCTTTTTACTATACCGTATAAAACAACACCAATATTCTACATACTATTTTTTATAAATTAATATCAATGCTTTTTTTACTGTACTGTTAAAACAACATCAATGACCAATATACTGTTCTGTATAAAATAACAGCATTGCTATTTATACTGGCTTTCATATTATTGAACAAAATTTTTTTAAAAAATGGCTTAAATTAAAGTATTTTAGAAAATAAACCACCTCAAAAATGTCACTAGCTTTTAAAGATAAAGGTTTTACAGTAAACTTATCTGTGTGCACGTGTTTGTGCAAAAATAAAAAAAATATATATTTTATTTGAAAATATTTATATATTGTATAATAATATTTATACTAGAATATATTTTATTGACATGAAGTTTAAGCATAAAAGCAATTGTTATTGCTGCAATTTTTTGC